GAATGAGAGAAATATGCCAAAATAAATTATTGTCAGAACCGAGCAAGGTTTGGTTGGTTAGCATGGCACAGTCCAGCCAAGCAACTGCCATTGAAATGAACAGGAACGCTAACGGAAAGTTTCTCCTTCTAGGTAGGAACCAAAACTTTTTGTTGGTGCTCAAACGCACTCTGCTGCCCCCATAACACGCACCACGTTCAACCAACCCACAATGCACAGGCACAATTCCTTTTGATTTATTCCCCTGACACTTCATTTAGCTGGGAAGTGCATTGTCATATGCTGGAGTGACGTGGGCGAGTGCGTGCTCCAGGATGAAAGTGAGGGGGTGGATGACTGCGTGGGGAATCCGTGCCCGGCGACTGACTGGAAAACAGGGGAACTGCACTGTTTTTCGGTGGTGACGACAGACTGGCAGCGCTCCCAGACCAGCCCTCCCCAGCCACCCACACACACATACATACACCAGCACTGCACTGCATTTATACTGAAACCATCACCCCGCTTACGGTCACGACTCAGGCGTTCTTACCCTCAGACACCCAAAAACACTCCAAATCATTATGCAAAACGCCTGCGATGCGTGAGAGAGTGTGATAACCGGCGTGAGGGGAGGAACGACTTTGAAGCAAGCACTAAAATTTTTGCCACTATGACTAAAAGAAACAAAAAGATGGATATGTGGAAAAACTACACACTAAGACATATAACAGTCCTAAACTCCTTTTTAATTAATCAAAATAGATTGAAATTCTCCTTCCAAGACTATGAAGATCAAGAGACAAAACGAACCAACACAGAAGACTTATAACAATATTATAATATACATATAACAACAATAATAATATAGTTCAAGTGTATATATTTTTTAATATATACATATAAACACTACCAGTCAAAAGTTTTTGAACAGTGATATTTTTATGTTTTTTAAAGAAGCTCACCAAGCCTGCATTTATTTGATCCAAAATACAGCAAAAACAGTACAAATTAGAAATATTTGTACTATTTAAAATAACTGTTTTCTATTTAAATATATTTTAAAATGTAATTTATTCATGTGATTTCAGAGCTGAATTTTTAGTATCATAACTTCAGTCTTCAGTGTCACATGATCCTTCAGAAATCATTCTAATATGCTGATTTGCTGCTCAAAAACATGTATTATTATTATGTTGAAAATAGCCAAGTAGAATTTTTTCAGGTTTCTTTGATGAATAGAAAGTTCCGAAGAACAGCATTTATCTGAAATAGAAATCTTTTGCAACATTATAAATTTCCTTATTATCACTTTTGACCAATTTAAAGCATCCTTGCTAAATAAAAGTATTTATTACTATAATTTCTTTCCCCAAAAAAATGTTAAATATTATACTGACTCCAAGCTTTTGAATGGTATAGTGTATAATGTCACAAAAGCTTTTTATTTCAGATAAATGCTGATCTTTGGATCTTTCTGTTCATCAAAGAATCCTGAAAAATGTACTCAACTGTTTTAGATATTGATAATGATAATAATTATAAATGTTTCTTGAACAGCAAATCAGCATATCAGAATGATTTCTAAAGGATCATGTGACACTGAAGACTGGAGTAATGATGCTGAAAATTCAGCTTTGATCAAGTCAAGTAGAGCTTTATTGTCATTCCGCTACATGTGGGGGCATACTGTTGAACGAAATGTCGTGCCTCACAGGACCACGGTGCTACATAAATACAGACATACAACAATGACGTAAAACAGACCAAGCCTGCATTTATTTGATCCAAAATACAGCAAAAACGGTAACATTTAGAAATATTTGTACTATTTAAAATAACTGTTTTCTATTTAAATATATTTTAAAATGTAATTTATTCATGTGATTTCAGAGCTGAATTTTTAGTATCATAACTTCAGTCTTCAGTGTCACATGATCCTTCAGAAATCATTCTAATATGCTGATTTGCTGCTCAAAAACATGTATTATTATTATGTTGAAAATAGCCAAGTAGAATTTTTTCAGGTTTCTTTGATGAATAGAAAGTTCCGAAGAACAGCATTTATCTGAAATAGAAATCTTTTGCAACATTATAAATTTCCTTATTATCACTTTTGACCAATTTAAAGCATCCTTGCTAAATAAAAGTATTTATTACTATAATTTCTTTCCCCAAAAAAATGTTAAATATTATACTGACTCCAAGCTTTTGAATGGTATAGTGTATAATGTCACAAAAGCTTTTTATTTCAGATAAATGCTGATCTTTGGATCTTTCTGTTCATCAAAGAATCCTGAAAAATGTACTCAACTGTTTTAGATATTGATAATGATAATAATTATAAATGTTTCTTGAACAGCAAATCAGCATATCAGAATGATTTCTAAAGGATCATGTGACACTGAAGACTGGAGTAATGATGCTGAAAATTCAGCTTTGATCAAGTCAAGTAGAGCTTTATTGTCATTCCGCTACATGTGGGGGCATACTGTTGAACGAAATGTCGTGCCTCACAGGACCACGGTGCTACATAAATACAGACATACAACAATGACGTAAAACAGTATAAACCTATACACAACAAACCTACTGACAGATTTTGACTATATATATGTTTACCTATACATAAACTAAAAAAATACAAACTATACAAACAGTGCAAGATGATTTGTAGTGCATGAGCATGTAAAACATACATATATTACTGAGTCCTTTGTGGGATTATGTACACACAGTAGTGTGTGTGGAATGTGTCTAGTGCACACATAGAGGAAAGTGTGTTACTACAGGTGGTTTGTACAGGCCCACTCACCTGTGAGTAGTATATATATATAAAAAAGATAATTATAAATATAATACAAATTATTTAAAAAATTAACACACTTAAAAATAAATATACTTAATAAATATATTTAATATACAAAATATTAAACTTAATAAATACAAAGTGCGTGTGTACAATTAAATGATTTTGATTCACACACGCTATGCGCAAACACATTTCCTCAATGTGCACACTTCTGCACAGTCGAGCTTAGTGTCGCTACTCTAACATTATACAGCACTTGGTGAAGAATATTAAGCATTAAGAAGGTCAGATCTGCTGTAGTCAAGGAGTTCAATAGCTATTGCAATAGCAATAGTCAGTGAAAATAACATGCGTTTGGATACATTTAGCATTCTGTATAAACATGGCAGCACTGCATACTTATAAAAAGAGTTCAGGCCACTCAGGCAAACATGGGCACACTGATTTTTGATTTGCAGTGACGGGTCCTGATGTCTTGTACATTGCTGCTTAGATTTTACAGCTCTTCTGGGGTTTTGGAATTCACACAACACAACAACTGAGCCTCAAAGCAAAAGCTGGCACACCGTATTGGATGACAAGAGACACAAACTGTAAATATCAACAGGCTCAAGCAGCGGCAGCGCAAGAATATCTGCTATGTGTGAAATACAAAATCACCACAAATGATAAACGGAATTCATATTTGCATAAACACTTAGATCAAGTGCTTTCTGTGGGCAAATCACTACTCCCTACTGTATGAAGGCAAAATGAGGTTGTAAATGTTAACAAAGCTGTGTAATAATGCAGTACATTACTTTTTCCATTCATATAACAACTGCATTTATGCTTGTACTAGGAAACTTGACTAAGCAATATCTGTGGTGCCACGCAGCACTGGTGTGTCACTGACGTAATGAGGCTGAGCCTGGGTTAATGTTCCGGTCTGTCTCTGTGTCACTGGAGTAAAGAGTGTGAGTCACACACACACACACACACACACACACACACACACACACACACACACACACACACACACACACACACACACACACACACACACACACACACACACACACACACACACACACACACACACACACACACACACACACACACACACACACACACACACACACACACACACACACACACACACACACACACACACACACACACACACTCCCAGTCATCCGCACCGGACAAATCAACCTTATTGTTGGCAGTGATCCAGAGCTCCGGAACTATCATCATGCCACCGAGCCCCAGCCATCGCCTCTAAAGTCTTTCCCGATGAGGGCTCTTATATGTCAAGGCTCATCAAAAATAATTTTTCTGCTGGTCCAGGTTTAGACTAGTGCTAGTGCCTATATTATATATTATATTACTGCTAATATATGCACATTTTATTTCTAGAAATTCTATTTTTAGTAACATAATTTAATATGTCCAAAAGAAACATATTTTTCATCACATGCTGTCTTTTTACAAAAAGTTATATTAATATATAATAATTATTAGTTAATTAATAATTTAATTGCAATACGAATTTGTAAAACTGGGAAACTGTGCATCTATTTTTAGCGGTCAGAAATAATATTTTTTTATAATTCTATTTAGATCTATATATTTTTAAATATTTCTTAGTGATTATTAGGCTCTTTACAAAAAGGTTACATGCATGCATATTAATTATTAGTTAATTAAGTTGAATAATTTTAAATAATTCAATTTGTAATATCGGATGGGAAATTGTACAGCAATTTTTACATGCCAGAAATAAATATATTTTTACTTTTATTTATATCTATATATTTTTACATAACATATTTTGCAGTTATTATTAGGTTTTCTTTACAAAATCTTATATTTATCTACATTAATTATTAGTTAATCATTTAAATTCACAATATGAATATGCAATACCAGTTGCTGCTATTTTTCAGAAAGAAATACATTTTTAAGTTCAATTTAAATTTATATATTTTTATATTTATTTAATTCTATATACTTTAATAGAGTAATTATTGTTTTTTTTTTTATAAAATTTAATATATATATATATGTATATTAATTATTAGATGTTTTAATTTTTTAATACTTTAACTTGCAAAATTAATTCACAAAAATCATTTGGAAATTGCGAAGCTACAATTTAACTCCACAATAGCTCTAAACTCACTTTTACTACAGCATGAGAATTTGTTAACGAATTTCAACTACTCACTGCAAAGTGCAATAATGTGGCTGCTGTCTTCATGTACAAACTTCTTGGTCACTGCCTCCTCCATAATCTGCTTCACCTAGACATGGAAAGACAAGTAATTAGGAGCGGCAAAGACTGGCAAAAAATAACGGCATTATGGCAAGTCAAAATTCTTGGAATCAGGTGCACAAAAGCAACTAATTAATCATAACAGCGTAACCACAAATGCTTTAATTAGCATCATTCAATTGATAAGTTTCCCTGGGAGTGCAAGGAACTGTGTAGAATGAGTCTTTGTCACATTTTTCTCTTCCAACTGTGAGTACTACAGCAAATCCCAGACTAATTAATCACAATCCTTGCAGGCGGCTTTATACTGTTTATGTAATTTGAAGAACAGCAGAAGGGTAATTGTACCAATGAGGAGGAGCAAATTATGGGCATCTGCTGATTATATGGTATGAAATTTGCCACAAGGCCAACAGTCAGCAAAAGCAGGACAATTTAAAGAAATAGTTCACCCAAAAATGAAAATTCACTGAAAATGTACTCACCCTTAGGCCATCCAAGATGTAGATAAGTATGTTTTTTATCCAAAAAAGATTTAGAGAAATGTAGCTCACCAACTGATCCTCTGCAGTGAATGGGTGCCGTCAGAATGAGAGCCCAAACATCTGATAAAAACATCACAACAATCCACAAGTAATCCACACGACTCCAGTCCATCAATTAATGTCTTGCGAAGTGAAAAACTGTGCTTGTAATGAGCAAATCCATCAAGATGTTTTTAACTTCAAACCACTGCTTCTTGCTAAAATAAGAGTAATCTATCTAATATTGCTTTCTCCAATAAAAATAAAGAAATAATCTTGTCTGAATCAGGAGAGAAATATGCACTGATCAAGCACTGTTTGTGGAAAGGGAAAACAGTTCTAAACGAATATGTCAGTGAATTTTGATATGAGAGGACAGACTTTTTCACTGGAGGAAGCATTATTATGGATTCATATTTTGGCCAGAAGTTTTAAAGTTTAAAGTTAAAATGTCTAATGATCTATTTGTTTCTTACAAACATGCAGATTTTCACAAAACATTAATTGATGGACTGGACTGGAGTGGTGTGGATTACTGTGATGTTTTAATCAGCTGTTTGGGCTCTCATTCTGACGGCACCCATTCACTGCAGATGATCCGTTGGTGAGCAAGTAATGTAATGCTAAATTTCTCCAAATCTGCTCTTATGAAGAAACAAACTTATCTACATCTTGGATGACCTGAAGGTGAGTAAATTGTCATTTTGGGCATGCTATTTTTTTAAAGGCTGATATTAAATATTTGCTGTTGTCCTTGGGATGAAATGAAAAATAGTAGTAGTTAAAATAGTTTTAAAACCTGTTCACTACAGCAGCCTGTTGCATTACATAACATGTCTCGAAAGACACGAGAATGGTTGGATGCTTTGAATAGTGCAAATGCTTCACATAGAGACATAGCTGACAGCGGTAACAATGGCATTAATGAAGTCATCACTCAAGGTTTTTTACAGCTGAAAAAAGGGGCACAACATGTGGAGAGATATCTTCACAATATGCTCAGTTAATACACCATCTAACGTCTGAACATACAAAGAGCTCTGGCATCCTATGCCCAATTTAAAAGGATATAGTGAACACCTACAAAGACAGACTCAATCACATGCACAGCTATAAAAAGAAAAGCCTATGAAGAAGAATGCAGTTCAAAATCTAAGCTCTTGACAGAAAATCTGACCAAAAAAAAATGGGGTATGCAGTTCTGCAGACACAAAAATATTTCGTAAATATTAAATAGATAGTTGCAAAATGGTGTAATGTTGCTCAATGCAGCTAATAAATATTGATGGGGAAAAAGCAGAGAACAGGAAAATGAAACTAAGTTGTTTTGCTCTTGTGGGAGCCATTTGTGACGATCCCTGCTTCATGCAGCTGTATTAATCGTCCACTGATGCAATTTAACTTCTTAGGTAGCTGCTGATGCTTTCAGTTCCTAGGCAACCAGAAGGCGGCTGACTGCAGCTTAAAGTGACAGAGACCTGGGATGTTACAAAAGAAAGTCAATGGAGGAACAAAAATCTAATCCTGTGTGTATTGCAGGACTGTTATAACCTGTATGCATTGTAAATATTCATTCAGATACTGTATTTCCTCACTATATATATGATGCTTAAAATAGCTGAAAACCAAAAAAGTGAGGTCTTTTGTAGAGATATGTATATATAGAGATCTGTATTTCATTTTATATATCATAATGTCATAAATATGTACTTCTGGTTCCCATAGACATATAAATGTGCAATGACCTGCAGGAGAAGCACTATTAATCAATGGAAATCAATGTTACACTACGTTAACTAAAGAGTCCAGGACATCTCTGTGGAGGAAATGACTCATTTTAGAAGTAAAAATAGGTTATTTGAATGAATATGACGCACAAAAGTTCATTAAAACTTGATGAATGAGATTATGTTAAAAAATGATTTTTGTTATTAACCCAGGCCACTGAGCCACCTGAGGCCAGATACCTTAAGAATTTAATTATCACATCCATGATATTAGACATGCCCTTAACTATCATGAGACATGATGTCTGCCAGGACTGTGCATTAAGTTCAAGAGGCTGAATCAGCTATGTGGACACAGTCTGTTCTGACACATGAGACATGCTGGTACCAATTTAGGACATCTATTCTTTGCAGCAATTCATTCAAGATTTCTATTATTCATGAGGGCCGGATTTAAAACTAGCATTCCCTGCACTGTGGGGGAAAAGATAAGAATTAATTACACTGATATAAAAGAATGTAACAGCTTCTCCCGCTGTACAGTTCCTGGAGTTATTACATTTGAAACTCTGTGAATGTGAAGTCTTATCAAATAATTATTACAAAATATGCTCAAGAACAGCTCATTCATATTTATCTCTGACTAGTTATTTTGATTTGGCATAAAATGGTTAGTACAGAATTTTTAATATATGGTTTTACTCCTTTTTAGATTAAAATAATACCTTGGATGAATCTGTTTTCCATTACAAGCCTATCTTGAATCTGATTGGTCGATCACAACATTGAGTGGGCTAATATATTTGTATATTAACTAAACTAGATTGGTCGATCACAACATTGAGTGGGTTATTAATATATTTGTATATTAACTAAACTAGATATTTCTGCTGCACTGTCCAGAAGTTATTGTTTTCTACACTTTATTGGACTATTATTCTTAGAGGAAGCTTTATACGCACATTTAGAAGTAAATTAATAATTTTAAATTAATGTCATGTTTTTATTTATTTTTAAGCAACAATGTAGTAAGTGCAACAGCAAAAATATTTCATTACACTTCATGTAAACTTGACTTAACTTAGTCATATTAAACTGTTTTCATTAATGAGTTTGAAGCCAGTTTAACCTATGGTGTGTGAACCAACAATGGCCATACTGGTCTTATATAATGCAGATATGAATTTGACTGTATGATAACCCCCTCACATTAAACTTATTTGATCATTGAAATTAACGTGTAACCGCTCAAAAATAGGTTCATGTGGCATTCCATTTCCACATGAGAAAGTTTCTCTGCGTGTGATAAAAAGAAAATAAACCCAGATCAAAACAGGTAACATGCAGAGCAATCAATGCAACGATCTCTTCTAATCTAGTCAAATAATAAAGTAGCGCGCTTTCTCTTACAGTCGTGTTATAAATAAACCTAGCGTGCTCTGAGCGCTCAGCCCCTCAATGTCTGTCAATGGAAATTCGATGTCAACTCGTTTTTGTTTACATTGCAATAGGCTAGGAGCATATTCGACACTAAAAACGTACTGACTTTTAGACTGTATTTAGCCATTTGCAGAAGGCACAATCTATTGATCACCGCAGAAACCATTGATTAAATCGTCTCCCATCGCTACATTAAGTTACAGGCGGATGAAGAAGGAAATAGCCGACCTCTCCAGCGCTACAGGTGAAAGTGTTTGAATGTAAACCTCTAAGAAATATAATAGCCTACCTGAGCACTCGTAAATGCAACTCGTTTATACATTAATTCATCACTGTACGTTAAGCATCAGCGCATCCGAAACTTATATGCATGCACTAAATCAGATGCAAAGCATGCATGCGAGCTGATCGTGCACGCATGTTTTAGCATTCAATCAAAACTAAGACAAGAAATAAATGAATTGCACTCACTTCTCTTTTGACGTTCCATAGTAATTTATCTTTAAATTCTTCATCTGTAGTCGAACCCATTGTCCCTGACTGTTAAACAACCCAAGTGCAGCATAAACTGGCTGGAGGCATAAATCTGAACGGCTCGCCTGCCTTTAGTCCCAGTATTTCTAATTTGCTTTATCCTTCCTTCCTTTTCCTGTAAGTGTGTACCGACAGCTGAGCATTGACGCATCTAAGCACTGCCGTAGCGCATCGTGAAGCCATCTTCGGTTCCTTTATGACGCAATCACCGCTGGCCCCGCCCCCTTGGCATTGTTGATCAATGGGATAAATCTCTTCACGCGCCGATTTATTTTTAGCTCCCCTCCACATTTGACAGCTCAGATGGCGGCGCCTGTGGTGGTTCAACTAATCAGGCATTGTCATTAGGCGTTCAACAAGACATGGTGTTCATATGAACTACTGGATGAAAAGATACGTGATGCATGATGGTTATAGTCTCACATCCATCCTATTATGGAAGGAACAGCTGGGTATATAAATGGCACAGGTGCAGCCAACTGGAAAAAAATAACCAGTGTTGGGGGTAACTCATTACAAGTAATGAGAGTTACGTAATCAGATTACTTTTTTCAAGTAACTAGTAAAGTAACACATTACTTTTTTAATTTACAAGAAAATACTTAAAGAAATGAACATTCAATTCACGGGCAACAGCTCTGGTGGACATTCCTGCAGTCAGCATGCCAATTGCACACTCCTTCAAAACTTGCAACATCTGTGGCATTGTGCATTGTGTAACGCGAAAGTAACGCAAAAGTAATATAACACATTACTTTCCATAAAAAGTAACTAAGTAACGTAATTAGTTACTTTTTTTAGGCAGTAACGCAATATTGTAATGCATTACTTTTAAAAGTAACTTTCCCCAACACTGAAAATAACTAGCACAAATTTAAACTACTGAGTTGATATTAAACATTTCAAAGCTGTTTAAGGGGTTTGTGGTACAATTTATTTATAAATTAATCAACCCCAAAATGAAAATTTGCCTAATATTTATGTAGATATAGTTTAGTTTGTTTCTTTATCGCAAAAGATTCAGAGAAATTTAGCATTACATCACTTGCTCACCAATGGATCCTCTGCAGTGAATGGGTGCCGTCAGAATGAGAGCCCAAACACCTACTAAAAACATCACAATAATCCACAAGTATTCCATAGGACTCCTGTGCATCAAGTACCGTCTTGTGAAATAAAAAGCTGTTTGTTTGTAAGAAACAATTCCATCATTAATGCATTTTAACCGCATCCATAATGCATAACAACGCTTCTTACATCAGAAATCCACTGACATATTTGTTTAGAACAGTTTTTGATCTGCACAAATTTCTCCCGATTCAGCTGAGATGACTTTTTCACTGGAGGAAGCAATATTATGATAAAGCACACATATTTTAGGTAAAAATGTCTTGATGGATTTACAAACTTAAAATAGAAATAAATGGAATATTTAAACATGCAAACAAGCATCTTTTCACTTCACAAGACATTAATTGATGGACTGGAGCGGTGTGGATTACTTGTGAATTATTGTGATGTTTTTATCAGCTGTTTGGACTCTCATTCTGACGGCACCCATTCACAACAGAGGATCCGTTGGTGAGCAAGTGATATAAATTTCTCCAAATCAGTTCCCATGAAGAAACAAACTCATCTACATCTTGATTGGCCTGAAGGCGATAATTGTTTTCATTTTTGGATGAACTATTCTTATATCTACTGTGAAAGTTACCAGATAAAAATAAAATACATTTAATTCAAATAAAAAACACACGAAAGATGACAATTTTAAAAATGTCTTCTTTTTTTTTTTGTTCATACATTGACAGTCAAAGGGGTCCAATGTTGTTTTGGACCATACTAACTTTAAATGTATGGGCAAATAAACCTGAATTATTGTTTAAAGGATTTTTCATTTTTGGGTGAACTACCCTTTAAGTTTAAGAAAATATGTGTTAAATAACTAGAGCAGGAAACTTTTAGGTCACAGTCATTCATTCATTAAGTATTAAAAACACATTTCTTTTCATCTTAGTAGACAAAAATCAAACACTACAACCTGATTTTTCTAAATGCAACGCCCCAAGTCCATATACATGATTTCTTTTTTCATCAAATCACAGTACTTGATGATTAATGTAGGCATAAGGCAGGATTGTAACAGAGTATATGATCCTGTACGGTTAGCAGAAACAGAGTGACGTACTTGGCAAATTCATCTTGGCAAGATGTTATCAAAACATTATATGATTAGGTTAGAAACTACTGTTTAAAACATAGTGTTTTCCTAAAAACAACAAAATAATGAGGTAAATAAATTAAAATATAGGAACTGATGCTAATTCATGATCAACTTTTTGTGTTATGTTCACATTAATGTTCAAGCCTCATTTCATCCAAAACTTTGATTGGCTGCAATATAACAAAGAGTGAAAAATTGAAGGGGGTCTGAATACTTTCCGTACCCACTGTATATATATAAAATGTCTTGGAAGCCTCAATTCACAGTTAGGCTAATGTCCAAGTGGTCTGTCATCATAAGTGCTGTATCTTTTAATGTGGATGCGCCGCACGCGCTCCCTCAGCTCCACGGCTTCCTCCTCTTCACTGTGTGAGCAACAATTGTTCCGTCTGCGGGTGGCCTCCAACAGGGAGTTATCTGGGACTGGGAGAGTCTCATAAAGCAGGGCATTTAGCGTCTCCTCGTAGATCCGTGCTTCTGGAAACTCAACCTGAGCGCATTACCAGAGTTCTTCTTTGACACGTTCAAACAGTGTCTATAGAAATACCTTTTCAAACGAGACTTACCTTTGTCTGCTTCTTCTCAGTAGCATAAACGATGGATGTGCAGCAGACTTCTGCTAGCTTACGGCTCTGTCCGTAAAAGGACCAGCAGCAGATCTCATCTCCGATGACATCTTTAATGAAGAGCACACGACTGCTGTAACTCAGAGACAGCTTCTCAAACAACTCGATATTCTTGAGTAGGTTGTCATCCGAGTTGCTTTTGAGGAAGATAAACACCAAACAAAAAGACAATAAGAACACTAGAAGCCAACTGAATTTCTCAAAAAGGAAAATCATGTTGAATGTTAAAGCACTGGTATTTACCTGGTATAGGAATATTTGTTGTTACCTCGGTTGTAAAGCAGTTTTACAACAGGCTATAAGTGGAACAATAATAATGGCAAAAGACATTCAGAGTTGCAGATTATCTTGCTTTATATGTGAACATAAAACAAACCCCAAAAAACAGGGACACAAAAAGCACTCCATGAAAGTCTCACCCTTACGCAGCCTTGTATCAGCCTCTCTTCCTCTTTAGGAGATGTTATGACTGGGATAACACACAAAGCCTTTTCTTCATTATCCTACCAACAAACAAACAAATAAATAAATAAATGGACCGATCTCACAAACCTGACAAGAAATATCTGGGTCATATTTCACCCCAAAATTATTATTATTGTTGTTGTTATTATTATTATATTTTTTAGACATAAAAAAAATGAAGTTTGCATTTAGGACCATTTAAAAAGTTTGCATTAATTTCAAAGGTCCGCAGTCAGTAAGATGTTTTCTCAAAGAAGTGAAGACATTTATTAAGCAAACTTGTGCATCATGTTTATTCATTTTTTCAAAAGTGACAGTAAAAACTTTAATAATGTTACAAAAGATTTCTATTTCAAATCAATGCAGTTTTTAAGCTTTCGATTCGTCAAAAAACCCTAAAAAAAACGCCTTACAATTTCCACAAACATTTTTTTTTTGCTCAAATTAATTCAGCCTTTCTGAGAGTAAGAGACAAATACATAAAAAACTTTTGACATACCCAAAATTGTATATTATTATATGATATTACAAGACTTTGCCCCAGTTTCCATTACCATAATGCACCCTAACCTTTAACATTCCCATTATTTTCAAACAGGATTATCATTACTACAATAGGCCTACATGTTTTATTTTACTGCTCTACAGTACACAATGATTAGTCTTAATTAAAATTATCATATATTTGAAGCAGTAAAACAAATTCTACCCAGATGTAAAGTATTTAAAAATGTAAATAATATATCTTTTTTTTCCACATTACAGTAACAAGAATGATAGAATCTTATTTGCATTACAACAATAAAATGTGTAGGAGATACATGCTTGCTTTAAAATGGCACAATTTTAAATATCTAATTTCATTCTTTTAATTTTGGTATGAAATATAATCTGAATATTTTCATGAAAATCACACAAAAGCAAGAATAATCAGGAAAGTCTCCACCAACCTGCAGGGCTCTCTGGCACAAGTCTATCAATCCCTGGATCTGATAATACTTGGCTTCTGCTAGGAGCTCCATGATACCGTGTCTGCTCTTGGGCAAGGTCACAAATCCATCACGGAGATAGCTGAGAACCGAACCAAAGTGTTTCCCACAGCGATCTATTAGAATCCAACCTTTAAAAAAAAGCAGAATTCACATAACAACATCAGCACTGCAAACCAAGGCTAAAGTGGTTACATCATATCTCGGCACTGTCTAAATAACTCACCTTCCTTATCAGTGAGCACCTCCATCTTGCCGCTGAACATGGATCGCAGGAGTGTGTCCTGTCGGGTGAGCACTTGCAGTGTGGAATAGTAAAGATTTCCGCCAACATTGAGCTGCACGTACTTGTTGCCAGTGACACCGCGGTAATTGCAGGTGTTAGTCTTGGGGCAGGCCACTGAAGAGACTGACACAATGGGCCCGGTTTGCGGTTGAAGCTGGGGCAGGCAGCTCTCTCCTGACATGTCCCGCTGTAGGTAGATAACCACCCTGCACACGATAGGTCTGATTTCCCCCGCCGTGGTGAATGCTGCTGCGCAGGCTGCTAGTGATGCAAAACCTACATGCTACACATCACATAAAACAACATGCATACAGCATTTATTGAAATCATTTATAGACCTTATATATATATATATATGTATGTGTGTGTGTGTGTGTGTGTGTGTGTGTGTGTGTGTGAAAGCTTTCCAATATGGTAAAACCATGCAATGACTACCAATGATAACAGCAAATATGACCTTGTACTATAAAGACTGAAAGTGTCAGTCAATCTAAAGTGACAAATATTGAATTTATATTGTGTATATCTTGACTATTAATACATTAACTTTTTCTGTTGTTGCATTGCTACTAAACTAGAAACGTCTGTACTTGTGTTTACAAACAGGCAACGCAAACGTGTCTGGTTAGGACGCAAAAAGCCCAATGACAAAATATTTCTGGGCTGTGGTTAAGTTTAATGCTAAGCTAGAACTAGTTTAATTCGTTTAATTCGTCACATAAAATAGTTATAAGTGAAGGTAAGTTTATCGCCATGAAGAAACTTTCCCAAGCTAGAAAACTCACCCACCGTTCTTCAGTAACTCGTGGGCGTTTAACTGAACACGAAGACTTGATCAGTTCGACCGTTTTACTTCAACCATATTTGATAAGAAGAAAACAAATAGCTCTATCAAAAAGCTCTATCTGAATATATACAAAAGTAAAAAACACTTTTAACTTCTACCTTCAGTGATAACAGAACGGTGTCGATTGTTCTTCTTCTTTGAAAGAACAGCAACAGGTTAAATCGTGATAAGGATCTACTGCCACCCATTGGCTAGTGCAGGGATCGTCAACCTACCAACCCCTTTTAAAATGCTTTACTTTGTAAAATATCTTTAATAAATAACATTAGCAAACAATACGAAGTTAAACCGAGCTTCAGTTAACTAGCTTACCTTTTTATCCATTCCATGTCCTGAAATCATGTTTATTAAGGATCTATAACAGGATTTTTCACATGTAATAACTTTAACTAAAAACATTATCCAACATTGTTACTTGATATTGTACTTTCTATTTTTGCTAATTTTTATTTGTTTGTTTGTTTAAAATGTTGTACATACCTTCTTCATGTTTTGTTCAATATTATATTTTATTCAATATATATAATAAATATTCAATAATGTTTTTTTTTTCATTCATGTATTCCTACAACACAGGCTTGGCATTTCAAAATAGTTATTAAATTTCACAAGTATTAAGTACCTTTATTTTGAAATGCATACCCATATAACAGTGAATTCTAGATTTGTCGATATATATTATGTATATCTCCATAGGATGCCATATTTGTATCATTATTATATCTGTTAGCCATTATACAGTATCTGATATTATTATTAAACCAAGCATTGCATTTAATTAAGATATTTGTAGTAAAAATATTGAGAACTTTTAACAGCTTTTGACGGTGGACGTGACGATATTCCAAGACCAGCCTTCGCGTTGCAGTTCCTGGGTCCGATTGGCTCTCTCTGCCTGCCAATCACAAAAGACGCAACCAATCAAACTCGTTTGTCCTTTCCACTCGCTCTCAGTGCACTAGCTGCATCATATTCAAGATGTCGGCGGTGTCTGTGTATCACATGTGTGTCCGGGCGAGCCGGGGCCTACTCAGACTGAGGCAGGGGGCCAGAGGCTCCACAGCCCCTGCGGTGCTGGATGTTGTCAGGACTCTCTCCTCTGACACATCTAGTAGCAGTGCCACTGGAGGACTGGCCCAGGCAATACTGCAGGAGAGGCTTCAGCAGCAGCAGAAAAGCCAGGTGAGCGCTATGACCGCCTGACATTCCTGCATGACAGGGTATTAGACAGCCAGTTATTGCGTTATGGAAAAAAATATGTACATTCTTACATGTTAGTACTTAGGCGTTGAGTGTATTGATGAATAAATGACCCCAACTTGTCAAATGGTTAGGTCTGGTTAGTAAAGGTTGACAGGTGGTGGTTTGAATGAAGTCAGACATGCAGTCTGAGTTATGTATGACAGAGCAGTAACATTGATTACATTTTCATATAATCAGTAGAAATCAGTGCATGTTATAACATTTATTCTTAAATATGTAGCATAAATGATTGCAAAGGACATAGCTGGATTACAAATTCTAGTTATATGAGTTTCTGTAAACCTGCCATATGAAATAATAGTCAGAAAAATCTATTACTTTTAAATGGAACAGTTTATTTACTCTTTATACGAAATATAAAAATAAAATAAAAACATTTTGTTTTATGTTTTAGTTTTATGTTTTGCATCATATTTGATACATCACATATGGCTTTTATGGTTGCCATGATGATAATTTAGAAGCCTTCGAAATTCATGTTTCAAATATGATGCATGCTTTATAAGGTTAAAAAGTTTGTTCATAATGCAAAAAAAAGTAACATTACAATTGAGTGTTGTTTACATTTATTTTTTATGACTTTCCCATTGGAGCTGTATCATGCAAGGTCTGGAGCCCTCTTTTGACGGTTGAATGCAGATAAGGGCTGAAGGCTGAATGTCTGTCAAAGGACAATGGGTCTCACTGAGTGACAGCTCCTCAGAACATTCAAAATAATGGAATTGGTGCATATTAGAATAGAAATTAGTCATAGAAATTAGTATTCAAACTGGCTGCTGTGTAACGTAAGATTTGGGATTCTTGTTGAGAAATTGGCTTAAAGTTTAGTCAGTTAATGCTCAGGATCCCAGGCAAATGTAAAGCAGGATGCTTTTAACACATCGTTCACAGGGCCAGCTTCCTCCAGAGGGTGATGACTCGGGTGACAAGAAAAATGAACAGGGTGAGGACAAGAAACAGAAAGAGAACACCGCATATGCTAAGAAGGTGGTCCTTCGGTTAGCAGGAATTATGGGACTTGGAAGCACAGTCGGCATCGTGTACATATTCGGTGAGTTTGCCTGTTGCTTTCTTATGACTGGCATGTTCATAACATTTCTCATAACATTTATAACATTTTTAACTGGCATTGTTGGATTATTCTTTGGATTGTTCTGAATTATAAGAATTTTTGGATGTCACTGGTTACTGTATTTTGTATAAAAAACATCATATATGTGCTACTCTGGTGATTTATTTTATTTGATTAAATATTTTATTTTTGTATTGGAGGATTAAGTTGTGTTAAAGGTAAATATTTATTTAACCTGCATATTTACTATTATTTATTTTATTTGTGTTTTTACTGCTTACTAATCATTTAACATGTGTTTACATACAAGTTCAAATTATTTTATATCATTATATATTAGGGGTCGACCGATATGTGTTTTTCAATATATATAAACAATTTATTATTATTTTTGCTTAAACTCAGTTTAAAATCATGACTCAAATTATTAATGTTTCTGGTCTGTAGGTAGCAATTCTGTGGATGAACAAGGAAATAAGGTAAGCATGAACTTTCACAAAGTCAGGTTTTAAGACTTAATAGTTATATTTGTCAAGGAATCGTTAAGCAGTAGTTCACCGTATGTTTTAAAATCACCCATACATCTTTTATACATATTCTAATGAGCTAAGAATTTCACCAACTTCTCAAGAAAGAGAAAAAAAAAGTTAATACAACATTAGCTGAATAGATTTACTTAGCAGTTTAAAAGTATCTTAATGGTGATAGTTAATGCCAAAACACTTCCCAGCTGTTCATCTTTTCCCTCCATTTTTTCTTATATGGTAATTTTAACAAGCTCTAAGCCACACTATTTCCCATGGCACACTTTCTCACCTGCACTCCCCCACCAGTCTCTTTCTATTGATACTACAATTGCTTTTGCATGGCAGACAGTTCAATCAGGTATCGGTGTGAAGATTTTCACTCTGTATGGCACACTTCTCAAAGTGCTGTGAATTTCCTTTCTTCAGCAAGCAGACTTCTAGCACCTCTCGAGGTGGCCCACTTCAAACGACTCGCTTTACAAAGGCAGTCTCACAGGAGACCGGAGTGAAATGTGCTTTGATTGTTGGTGTTGCGTTTTATACCTCTCTTGCCTATGCGAAAGACCTGTACTACTGTAAGTGTAGCTTGACCATGATGTTGTGACAAGAACCGATTTTTTTTTTTCATTTCAAATTCTCAATGTCATAGTGAATTATTATTGTATATTGTGATTTATCGCAACATCTTCATCCAAAATTGAACATTGTCATTATTTACTGACTTTCTATTCCAAACTTGTATCTTTTTAAGGTGTTAAAGGCGTAAATGAGCATTTAAGCTTGTTTGTCATATAAAAGATCAACTTAGCAAGGTCTTGTAATCTTTCTGGAAGCCACCCACCTTTAAAGAGGCACACTTCACAAGTAGATGCCAAACACACCTAGTCTGGAGGCATGTGCCAGAGGTGTGAATTCAGGAAGGTGGTCACTTTAAAGAGCACACCTCCACCTTTGACGTCCTGTTTTGTTTTGTCCTGTATGTTAGAGCTCACTTGTAAGGGCACACTTCACAGGTCAGTATGATTTCACGGGAGTTCAGAGGGCCGTTGGTGCCTGATTGCGTACCTCATCCATTATATTGAGTTTTACTGTTCTCAGCTCTTGTGATCTTATTGTGAGCATGAGACCTTTATCCTGTTCCCGTACTGTACATTTTTCTTTGTCTCAGGGACTGGCTTTAATGATCGGTCTAACACATTTATTTTTTTTTTATCTTCCTGTAAATTACAAGAAGGGAGAACAAGAAAAAAACATTATAGCAGAAACAGCTGTACATTTATATACACTACCATTCAAAAGTTTGGGGTCGGAAGGTCTTTTATGCTCATTTAATTTATCAAAAATACAGTAAAACAGCAATGTTGTGAAATATTTAGGGGTGACCCCGAATAGTCAAAGATTCGATGCTTCGATTGGAGGAGCCTGATTCGACACTCAATCTCACAGTCGAATATTCGCAGAGGTCTTATGATCATGCCATTTTGGCTGTATGGGGTTGCTCAATGTCTGATTTCACATAGAACTACCGGTTTTCTGCCAATAAGTTAATATACAGCCTATTATGAAAATTCTGTAAATAAGAATCTAAAAAGAAAGAAGCTTTTAATAATTTTTTTTTACGTGCATGAATATATCCAACCACCCTGTGACAGATTTAAGTTTCACTTTCCATAATCCGTGACTGACAGAGGAGCATCGTGGCGCGGCAAGGATTTAAATCTTTAACAAGACTCAAACTGTCACAGGCAGAGTGAAAGACTGGATGTTTTTCCATCAGATAGGATACAAGTGATTTCAAAACCTTTCAGCCGGTTCTAATTTGACTTTTGCATGCTGTGAACATAGGTGCTGATCCCGTGGGTGCTTGGGAATGGCTGAGTACCCATGTAAAAGCTTGTGATATTATCTATTCACTATCATATTGGCGAAATTGATCTGGCAAACTATCTAATGCATACTTGTGTTTGCGCTCTGAGGAGAATCAAAAGGTTTAATTTTGTCCAGTGCAAATCCTCTCATTGTAAAAAAAACTTAATGAGATCACAATATAGAAAAGGGTTAACTTTTTAGTGATTATAAAGGCAGTGCTGTTTGTGTGCTTTCTACTCTATAGCCTTTAGTCCATTCAGAATTTGTATAGAACTTTTATTTTTTGGCCACCTACATGCTGCAAAGTTTCAAAAATGATATCCGCATATTTATGCAGGATTCAAACTCGAAAGAGCAATGGACGGGACAAAAATATACATGGAAATGTATGTGAATTGAGGCTAGAGCACACTTTCTGAAGCACCCGCAGTATTTAATTCTGGAACCAGGCCTGGATAAAACTATTAGGCAATCGCATGGAGTTTTATGTGGCTGTAGGCTATGCTTCAAAGTCTGAAAAATTAGCAGGATATTTGTTAATTTCTTCTGTGAAAATCAGTTAGAGGAAACATGCACATGGGCTTCATCGAATACTGCTTGCATCTGTTGATTTCATCTTATGTGGATTATTTGGTTTTATTTAGTGCAAATCTCCAGTTTCATCAGCTCTGATACGTAATAAACAACATGATATGCTGCCGGCTAATGTTAACTATCTTTTAATCAAAACATAAAACATTATTTACCCGTTTGTATCTGCGAGTTACACATTTTCCCTGTGTGTTAACGTCAGTATTTATAACTGTCAAATATCTGACTACTTGACTCTTGGTAATGTATTTTGCCCCCGCCCCCAAACATATGATTCGACTATTGGCAAGATTTGACAATTCTGATTCGACTATGTAAATCCTTAGTCGGGGACACCCCTAGAAATATTATTACAATTTAAACAACTGTTTTCTATTTTTATATATTTTAAATATGTATTTTATTCCTGTGATGGTACAGCTGAATTTTCAGAAGCCATTAATCAAGAAAATAGTTGTGCTGCTTAATATGTTTGTAGAAACCATAATACAGGTTTCAGGAATCTTTGGTTAATAGAATGTTCAAAAGAACCTGATTTATTTAAAATATAAATCTTTTGAGACATTATAAATATCTTTACTGTCACTTTTGAAGAATGTTCAAATATTAAGACATCCTTGTTTAATAAAAGTATTAATTTTGTTTAAAAAAATAATGATCCCAAACTGGGGTGTATTACTATGTTTTACATGCGCCTCAGTTTCTTAATTCTTTCTGCCAAAAAGATCTGTTAGCTCTAAAAACAAGTTATGATTTACACAATGGACTTTGGATAAACAAATTATGAGCAACATTACAGTAGCCTAAATTTAGTGTCGAGATTATTTGGTAAAACTTTAGATAGGATTCAGTTAACATTAGTTAACGCATTGGTTGTCATGAATACTGGATGTAACGATATCAAAATCTCACGATGCGATAATATCTCGATATGAAGTCCACAATACAATATTATTGCAATATTTAAAAAAAAAAAAAGACAAATGAAAACTTGGAAAAAATTTTAATTTTGTACATTTTAAAGTTAAATTATTCTATCTAATGCACTTTGAGAGTTCAAAATGAAGAGCTTCAACCCATGTTCTTAACTAAGAAAACTTAAGTCAGAAAAAAGTCAGTGAATTGGCTTGTATCTGAACTTTAAAGGGAACTCAACCCTCTTTTTATTTCTGGTATACTGTCTCAAGTCTAAATTACATTCACACTGGTGTTTTAGGAAGCCAAATAAATTAGAATATAATAATAATAATAACAACAGTTTTATATTATTGTTATTCCTATGACAGTAATAGCCATATATTGTAAAACAATTGCATGGTAAAATAAATGAAAATGAATTTCATAGGTATATTATTTTTGCTTTACACTACAGTAGGGAAATTACAATACTTCTTTCCTAAGTTCTAAACTTAGATATTTTGAATTTGGACTAGGCTTGCCGCGATAGACGGTGCTGACGGTGATACCGGTGTTAAGCCGCAACACCGGTTATGTCACTTGCCCACCGCGGCACCGACCCCCACTGTCGTTTTGATTTTTTATAGTAATAAAAATCATTTAGTGTTCAGTAAAAGAACAGACACTACAATTAAAAACTGAACACGGCTGCTCAATGCAGCGTGCCGAACGACAGTCGCACCACAGATCAGATTTAATTTATCCAGTGAGGAGAGTGAGTCGAGGTGACTGACAAGAAGAGTGGGGTGAGACAGACAAGATGATGGTGGATGATTTAGTTTTGAAACGAAATGCAAAAGCGCCTGTTTGGCAATATTTTGGATTTTGAAAAGCCTGTTGACTTTTGCCGTTTATCTAAGGAGATTTTTAAAGTTTTTTTAAACATTCGTTTCTTATTAAATTGGTTCCACATTATTTGCTGATTTTTACTTTATTTTAACTTTGTGTCATTTATTTATTTTATTTGACATCAAGGTGTATGCCGTGCCTCCAAGCTTTCTTACTCGTTTTGCTAATAAACGTTCTACGTTTCTTATTTATTTGGTTATATATTATACATGTTTACTTGGCCTATTTCCAGTTTTGTATACTTATTTAAACTTTATGTAAGTTATTTGTTATTTTATATTAGGCATAGCCTGCCCTA